CGATAATCCAAAAATTAGCTCCTAAATTCTAACCCTATCTCCTATTCCTTGACCTCTGAGTGAAACGTCACGGGGTTAAGGGATAGTGGATAGGAGGATTCAAAAGGACTTAGGAGAAGAGACCGCGGTACTTTAGAGAATCCGAATGCACTTTCACTATCCGACGTGTTTATGATGCGCCAGCGGACGTCATGAATGTGCGTCTGCTGCTGTGGGGAAACTATGGAAACTACAGTTTTCTATACAGCGGACTACAACATGGATGTTTAATAAGAACGAGGGACTCCTGTAAACTCATCTAGAGACTCTGCACCGTGCTCTGATGCTGTTGCTTTAAGCTTTATGAACGTGGACAACAGAGAAACATTTTCTTCATGACCAAAGTTGGAATTGAAATAAAAAAGGAAAGTTAAACTTATGCTCGTCACCCTCTCCCTCCGGTCCACATTAATACAAATGATCCCAATACGTATGATTGTATGAACTATTAAAATATCTTAAAATAAATACAAATGTATTTATTATAAACGTTAGTCCTTAACATCTATCACTGTGTACATCACCATTCAAACATCTTTTAAAAGTTGAACAAACTACACACAGCTCAGTAAAGACTGTGAAATGTTGACTTTATTTGATCATTTCAGTAAAAACTAACGTTCATATTTCTCTTTTTGATTATAATACTGATGAACGTTCAGAACAAAGCACTTTGGCAACTTACCACATACGTTTTAAAATGCTTAATAAGCACCGTAACTTTCATGATATAATTTCTCCCATTATCGTTTGTGTCCATGAACGGCCGACTGTTGTGTGACGTCAAATGCTGCGGCTGCAATGCATTGTGGGGCAGCATTTTCTCCTCTCCTTTCGGTAAGGGAGGTCCAGTGGTTCCTAAGCTAAAGGAGGTTATAAAGGAAGTTTGAAACTTCCTTTCCTTTCATTTGGAGAATTGGAACGGCACTTATCATGGCTGCCACTGAGGGACTTCCGGGTCATTTCACTTGGTTAGGAAGGTTCCTAAGCTAAATGGACTATTGGACTGGGCCCCTGGGCTGCTTCTCAGGTCGACTATTTTCATTTCCTCGCTCCTCGGTCTCACCGGAAGTTGATTTGCCTGCGCCATCTTGAGTACCGTCCCATGGCTCGTATTTCTGCCGGAGGACCGAGGATCGAGGAGCGAGGAGCGATCATGGAGGAGCGAGGAGCGATCATGGAGGAGCGATAACCGAGGAACCACCAGACCATCCTCTGATGAAATCCTCAGATACTCACCCCGCCCCCTTACTGTGTATCGCTCACTGATTGGACGAGGCAGTGCATGCACTGATCTGATGCTTCTTGACATGAGAGCAGAGTGAAGAAAATACATGAACCTCACGGGACTCACTCCTCAGTTTATACTGTGTTTTGTTTCAATTCATGTATCATTTAGTTACAAATATGTGATATATCTAAACAACAAAGTGGTCAAACATTTTTTTATTCATTTATTGGAAATATTTTCATGATCGCTTTTTTCGTTTATACATTTTAAGAATGGCGTTTATCTTTTTTGAGAATGACTTCTTATTTTATTTCATGTATTTGGATCTACAACAGATGATACTAATGTTTATGTCAGTAAATGTGTACTAACAGAGGCGGGGGTGTTTGTGGAAATAACGGGTACAGAGCTGGCTGCTGCCAGACGAACAGCTGTGCAGCGTCATCACAAACGGACGTCGCTTCACGTGACGCTCCGGAGGAAAGGACGTCCCATTGCTCTTAAAACTCATTTCCCTGCTTCTCGTGGTTTCCTTGCGTCCCTGGTGGGAGGGACTAAACGCAGGGAAACGACGCAAGTGAGGGAAGCAAGGATTTCATTTAATCGACCTGAGAAGCAGCCCTGGTCTCCCAGCTGTGTGCATCACTGTTTAGTGTCCCCTGGTCTCCCAGCTGTGTGCGTCACTCTTTAGTGTCCCCTGGTCTCCCAGCTGTGTGCGTCACTCTTTAGTGTCCCCTGGTCTCCCAGCTGTGTGCATCACTCTTTAGTGTCCCCTGGTCTCCCAGCTGTGTGCGTCACTCTTTAGTGGCCCCTGGTCTCCCAGCTGTGTGCGTCACTCTTTAGTGTCCCCTGGTCTCCCAGCTGTGTGCGTCACTCTTTAGTGTCCCCTGGTCTCCCAGCTGTGTGCGTCACTCTTTAGTGGCCCCCTGGTCTCCCAGCTGTGTGCGTCACTGTTTAGTGTCCCCTGGTCTCCCAGCTGTGTGCGTCACTCTTTAGTGTCCCCTGGTCTCCCAGCTGTGTGCGTCACTCTTTAGTGTCCCCTGGTCTCCCAGCTGTGTGCGTCACTCTTTAGTGTCCCCTGGTCTCCCAGCTGTGTGCGTCACTCTTTAGTGTCCCCTGGTCTCCCAGCTGTGTGCGTCACTCTTTAGTGTCCCCTGGTCTCCCAGCTGTGTGCGTCACTCTTTAGTGGCCCCTGGTCTCCCAGCTGTGTGCGTCACTCTTTAGTGTCCCCTGGTCTCCCAGCTGTGTGCGTCACTCTTTAGTGTCCCCTGGTCTCCAGCTGTGTGCGTCACTCTTTAGTGTCCCCTGGTCTCCAGCTGTGTTTTGAGCTTCTTCAGCGTTTTGTATCTGCTTGTATAGCTTTTAGTAAACGCAGCATGTCTCCTCAAGTTGCTGAATGTTCTCTAAACGCTGCATGTGTTGTCAAGTTGCTGAAGATGTTTATTCATGTGGAACATTTGTGTTTTTATATCTGCATTGTTTCTGAAGCTGCAGCGCATTTCTCCTGATGGGAGAGTTTTAGATGTTGCAACGTGTTTGCACCTGTCGGCAAACTGGTCTAAAATAACAAATAACAACAAGTTGCATTGGTTTCAGACTTCATGAAACAAATGCAAAGAAAACCCTTTCATTTGAAGCCCCACTGTTGTCTGTGAATAAACCTCCTGTCCTGCCTGCACACGTTCATGTCTGGGAAAACACATTCTACAGTATATTCCTGATGTGGAGCGATATATATTAAGCGTGCAGCAGCTGTGAGAAATAATTTCTCCAAAACAACAAGGCCTCTTCCCCCAGAGCCCAGCAGGGGGCAGGAGAGATGCTCATGCTAAATCACTGACTGAGTGATGTATTTGATACTTCACTTTAAATTCAATGCATAACAGAATAACTGAGACACTGTGAGGGAAACACTCAGAGAACTCAATAACTGCAGGATGTTTGTGTGAAATGATGATACCACTCTTCTGTCGGTACGGTACACATTAAGATTGACTAACAGTGGTGTAAAGTAACTAAGTACATTTACTCAAGTACTGTATTTAAGAACAATTTTGAGGTACTTGTACTCTCCCACCAAATTAGAGACACTACATACTGATATACACCTGAACATCAGCAGGAGAGGACTCTTTAAAGTAGAGACACTACATACTGATATACACCTGAACATCAGCAGGAGAGGACTCTTAAAGTAGAGACACTACATACTGATATACACCTGAACATCAGCAGGAGAGGACTCTTTAAAGTAGAGACACTACATACTGATATACACCTGAACATCAGCAGGAGAGGACTCTTTAAAGTAGAGACACTACATACTGATATACACCTGAACATCAGCAGGAGAGGACTCTTTAAAGTAGAGACACTACATACTGATATACACCTGAACATCAGCAGGAGAGGACTCTTTAAAGTAGAGACACTACATACTGATATACACCTGAACATCAGCACGAGAGGACTCTTTAAAGTAGAGACACTACATACTGATATACACCTGAACATCAGCAGGAGAGGACTCTTTAAAGTAGAGACACTACACACTGATATACACCTGAACATCAGCAGGAGAGGACTCTTTAAAGTAGAGACACTACATACTGATATACACCTGAACATCAGCAGGAGAGGACTCTTTAAAGTAGAGACACTACATACTAATATACACCTGAACATCAGCAGGAGGGGACTCTTTAAAGTAGAGACAGAGCCCCTTTAATGTTGTTGTTTTATTGATCTGAGGGATTGAGAGCAGCACTGATTAAAGATTGGACGTTTGTAAAATATAATGACAGCCGTCATAATGAGGGCAAAGGGACGGACACACAGAGGCTGCTGTACTTTATGTACTCTGTACTCTCAATGTTACTGAAGTCATATTAATGATCTACTTTATAGTGAAGCACCTTTCAGACATTGCAGCTCAAAGTGATTTACAAAAAGGGAAAATAAAGACAATTTGTCACAATGAATGTAATTAATGGATGATAATATTAAAAGTAAGATACAAATCTAGATTTGACAAAAACATTACGAGAAATAGAATACATAGAATTATTCATAAAATAGAACAGATTTTTATGAAGTTTTGGATCGATTTTGACGATTTAGGGACTCTGGATCATTTGGATTGGATTGAATTGAAAATAAAGTGTCCACAGTAGATCTTGTGCTCTCTATATCCAACTCTACTCATGGTAGTCAATGAGTAGCCCACAGAGACAACAAATATGGCCACTTTCTAGCTAAAACTGTTTTTATCTAGAAAATGTCAGAAATGGATTCAGCATCCTCAATAACACTCCAAAACTGTCCAAATCAACCAAGCCATTTGTATCTATTGTGTGCATAGGCTGTAATGCCATTGATGCTAATTAATGCAATTTATGCTAATTGTTCAAATGTCCCAACATATGCAGGTTAGCATCCAGTAGTTTGGGGTCCTGAACTCCGGGCTCTCAGTGCTGGTAAACTGCATCTCCGTCAATTGTTTCCACCTTTCCTGGCTCACTTTCCTTCCTTCCTCCCCCCTCCCCGGTCTGCCAGCTCTCCGCCCATGCACACAGTCTTTCAGTCACACACACACACACACACACACACACACACACACACACACACACACACACACACACACACACACACACACACACCACACACACACACACACCACACACACACACACCACACACACACACACACACACGCACACACACACACACACACACACACACACACACACCACACACACACACACATATACACATACACAACACACTCTCACACACACTTCAGATCACCTGCGGATGGATTTTTAAAACGCGAATCAAGCGGAGGCAGACGGACATGGATCAGCTGTTTGAGGGACTTTTTTAACCTTTTAATCCGAATGGCACTTACCAGTCGCCGTGGAACATGTGGATTACTACCGTTTAAACCGCGAACGTGAAGAGGACACGGAGATTTTGGCAGGTGAACCCGATTAACTGTCCGATAATCAAAGTAACGGAGTACTGAAGTGCAATTTTGAAGGACTTATACTTTACATTTTCTCGTTCTACTCCTCTACAGTTCAGAGGTAAATGGTGTACTTTCCCTCCACTACATGTATTTAATACCTTTAGTTACTTCACAGATGTGGATGAATGATGTGAAATATAATCAAGTGTTAAATCTTTAGTTCCACCTGGAGTAAATCCACAAGCTGCCCTGTAGTATACAAAGTCATTCAAACTAGCTGCACCTTTACTAGCTTTGAGAACACTTTCATGATCAATCATTATAAAACATATATATATTATTCTGAAATGGACCATTCTGCACAACGACTACTTTTACTGTCGCTACTTTCACTATATTTTGATGATAATACTTTTCTACTTTCACTTGAGGAACATTTTGAATGCAGAACTTTTACTGTAACAGAGTATTCCTACACTCTGGTACTTCTACTTTGACTCAAGTACAAGATCTGAGTACTTCTACTTTTACTCAAGTACACGATCTGAGTACTTCTACTTTTACTCAAGTACAAGCTCTGAGTACTTCTACTTTTACTCAAGAACAAGATCTGAGTACTTCTACTTTTACTCAAATACAAGATCTGAGTACTTCTACTTTTACTCAAGAACAAGATCTGAGTACTTCTACTTCTCTCTCCTCAAAGCGCTAATGGATCCCTCTTATAGGGACTATAACTCTTCTCCTGAAGCTCAAGGACAGCCGTTAAAACAAAGAAACAGATTGAATGGTTTCTGCCAGGGAAGACATGATTTCACAGGAAACACAACACACACAGGATAGCATCTAGCAACAGCAGCAGCCCAACATATATCAGCGTTTCCCGCTCAGCTGTCAGCGGGTTTGCGTGTGAAATGAATGTGTAGATATGGCAATGAAAATATAAAGTCTTGTATGTATGTGTGGAATATAAAAGCCCTCACAAAGAGAAGCTCTATGCAGAAACAGAGGAGCGTTATTTAAAAAAGTGAATTAATGAAATCTGTCTGTATACGAATTAAGAGAAGGAAGATCACTGTGACTATAGAATCATCCGGATAGAGGTCGGACAGCTAATGCTAACTGAGTGCATACAAAACGTCTTATCATGCATAATTAATCTCCCAGTATATGTTCGTATACTGCCATTTCTCCTGTTTCAACCCGTATTCCCAGTGTGTGTGTTCCTGTACTTCAACACATTCAGCGTCTCTTGCTGATGTTTCCACGTCTCTCTGTTAGTTTAAAATGTAATCCCATGGTCCTTCTTGTTGTGTTGTCTCATGGTCAGACAGTGACATACAGTAACACATCCTCACAACCATGCTTTCAGGTTTAAAGTGAAAAATATACGGCTCCTCTACAGGTTAAGTTAATAGTTTGCGGTCGCTCGTATCCTCCAAAGATGGCCGACTTGCAGTTGTTGACGTCACATCCTAATTAGGCTATATCAATATTGTGATATCGTGTTAGGTATGATGGCCTTCGTGTTGTTTTGTCCTGGTTTAAAGTCTTCATTACAGGAAAGTGGTGTACTTGATTACTTTTCTCTACCCTCTCTCAGTGATGTCTTCGGGGAGTTTTTCTCCCACGACTTGGCGCGGCCCTGAACTCACAAAGGCCACTCAGGGCCGACAGACATTATTACAGTCGCTCGACCGTGACCAACCAAAGCAGGTCTGACTATTATATTTAATTACAGGAGAAAGGACACATCAATGTTGAAGCAAGAAATCTCTCAGACCTAACAACGACGTCTTAGAGCTGCAACGATAAATCCACAACCAGAAACAAATGAAATTCTTAGTTTTTAAAGCAAAACCAGCAAGAAATGTAAGTAATCTGTCGACTCATGGATCAAATCAAATCAAACCAAAGTTTATTTATAAAGCACATTTAAAATCGATTTTTGGTTGAGCCAAAGTGCTGTACATGTAATAAATACTACAATCACTTTAAAACACATTACTACAATCACAATAAAAGACAATAAATTACAACAGATATATAAAAAACACAGGGAAAAGTCAGGAGTCGCGCTTCACTCTGACTAAAAGGCCAGGGAGAAGAAGTGTGTTTTAAGAGTAGATTTAAAAGCCCCCAGGGTCTGGGCCGACCTCACATGGAGGGGCAGAGTGTTCCAGAGCCTGGGGCCAGCCGCTGCGAAGGTTCGGTGACCTCGGGTTTTGAGCCTGGTCTTAGGCACTATCAACAGCAGCTGGTCAGCAGACCTTAAGGCTCTGCCTGGGGTGTAGCGATGGAGGAGTTCAGCTATATAGGCAGGAGCCTGCCCATTTAGGGCTTTAAAAACAAATAAAAGGAGTTTAAAATCTATTCTGAACCAAACTGGAAGCCAGGGCAGTGAGGCCAGAATTGGGGTGATGTGGTCACGCTTTTTGTGGCCAGTGAGTAGACGTGCAGCTGCATTCTGAGCTAGCTGGAGGTGTCTAATTGAGGCCTGGTCCATACCCACATACAGAGCGTTGCAGTAATCCAGTCTCGAGGTAACAAAGGCGTTAATAACCCTTTCTAGGTCTTTAAAGATAAAACGACTTGGTCTTAGCCAATAGTCGTATTTTTAAAAAAAAAGCAGGTTTTGACTACAGTGCTAACCTGCTTATCGAATTTAAAAGCGCTGTTGAAGGTCACTCCAAGGTTCGTAACAGAGGGGAGGATATTATTTTTGAGGGAGCCCAGAATATCAACCTGGAAGGCTGGAGGTTGGGGTCCAAAAAAGATAACCTCAGTCTTGTTCTCATTGAGGTTGAGGAATTGATGGCTCAGCCAGGATTTGATTTCTGCTAAGCAGTTCATCAATAGCTGTAATGAGTTGACATTTGAATTGAGAGGCAGATAGATCTGTACATCGTCGGCGTAACAATGGAAGGGGATGTTGTGTTTTGTGAAAATTGAGCCTAGGGGCAGTATGTACGGTAAAAGGATGGGGCCCAGAATCGAGCCTTGGGGAACCCCACAGGTAAGAGGTGCTTTGGCAGAGGAGAAGGCACCTAGCTGCACTGAGAAGCTACGGTCTGTCAGGTAGGACCTGAACCATGCAAGGGCAGAGCCTGTGATGCCTGCGGACTGTTCAAGCCGTGACAACAGGATGCTATGGTCCACAGTGTCAAAGGCAGCTGTCAGGTCCAACAGCACCAGGACAGCTGGGCTACCTGAGTCGGCGGCTAGGAGCAGATCATTAAAAACTCTTTAAAGGGCTGTTTCAGTGCTATGCATAGGTTTGAAGCCAGACTGAAACTTTTCATGGATGCCACGCGTGGTTAAAAAAGACTGCAGCTGGGCGTCGACTACTCGCTCCAGGGCTTTAGATGGATGATGTAATGCGTTGTTATTTGGAGCACTATCAAGCAGTCAAACCCCAATATGTTCAGCTTATTAACATACAAGGCTAAGAAAAGCTGCAAATCATGTGAGAAGCTTAACCCAACAAGTGGAAAAAATGATAAATCAACGGTCTTTTTGCAGCTTGAATCTCAAATACAGTTGAGCAGAAGTGTAAAACAATCAAAATCATTTTTGCTCTCTCAGTTGATTCCTCACTCCATCATGCTTTTTTGTTTACTTGTATTTATAGCAAATACATCTGTTGACAGTCCACATATTTATATATTATTACAATAAACAGTATTTTATTATTCCACTGTGCCGCATGTGTGACTGGAGGAGCCACACACAGTCTAGTATTCGACATACTTATCTCATCTTATTCTACTTCTTCCGCCGCAAATGTTGTCATGCTACTCGTCCGGCAGCGTTGACACGAAACACACAAAAACACATCAAAACATGCGGAGTGACCGGGATCGGGTTGCTAGGTCTTTTATAAGAGATTCGCCTAGCCGTTTTCACATTTGCCCCATAGGTCTGTCTCTCGTTCACTGGCAGGGCGTTGCCGTGGAAACGCTTTGATCTTTGAACACACCTGTCGGACATTAACTGAATCCAGTGGTGATATAAAGATGTTCAGAAACGATGCGGGAATGTGGTACAATAATCCAAAAATGTAATAGATAACCAGTTCAAATAGTCAGCTAAAAGTGAGCTAAAAGGAATGGATATTATTTGCTGTACCTTAACAATACAACTAATGCTATTAATACTTACTCAGCGGGGCTAATGTTAGCATCGAGATGCCAAGTCTCAGTCACACAGTCAACATTTCTCTGAATTTTCTAGTTTGACATATTGTTGTGTCTCATTCTGTTTTAATTTCACCATTGTGTCACTAGCTCTATTTCATTGCTCTATTTTACCTCCTTGTTTCTTTTAATGTCTTCATCGTCTGTTGCTCTGTTGGAGGAGCCCGGGAAGTCAGATTTTCATTGCTACGCTTTAGCTGTTTAGCATTTTAAAAATAAAGCCTTGGAACTAAAATAACATTTCATCCCAACTCGAATAACTGGGCTTCATTTATGTTGCATGGGTTGTTAATGTCTCCCCTGTGTGTCTCCACAGTTAACCGGGATAAATAATTCAGCTGTGGTGGAAGTGGACTCCCTGCTGGTTCTGGAGGATGGCGGGCTGGAATCAGGGCGCCGCTCTCCCACTGGTTCTGATGGTTCTGCTTGACCTTCAGCGGGTCGCCGGACGATCGCCCCACGAAACGCAGAAGAACATCACGCTGGCCGTCATCTTGCCCCAGAACAACACAAACTACCCGTGGGCATGGCCTCGCGTCGGGCCCGCCCTGGAGCGAGCCGTCAGAACCGTGAACGCCGACGCCTCGCTGCTCCCGGACCACGTCCTCATCTACCGCTTCAACAGCAGCGAGGACAAGGGCGGCGTCTGCTCCGAGTCGCTCGCCGCGCTCATGGCTGTTGACCTGAAGCTAACGTACGACCCGTGGGCTTTCATCGGGCCGGGCTGCTCCTACACCTCGTCGCCCGTCGGCCTCTTCACCACCCACTGGGACGTTCCCATGGTTACAGCGGGCGCCTCGGCGGTCGCCTTTGACGGCGGCGTCTACCCGTCCATCACCAACACGGGCCCGACGCACAAGAAGCTCGGGAAGTTCGCCCTGCGGATCTGCGAGCACTTCGGGTGGCGGGAACACGTGATGCTCATTTTCAGCGACAAAAAGGAAGACGACCGGCCGTGCTACTTTGCGGTCGAGGGTTTGCACGCGGAGCTGGAGAGCATCAACATCACGCTGGAGGAGCGAGTGTTCGCGGAGAACAAACCGGTCAACTACTCGCAGATCATCCTCGATATCCAGAACGATGGCCGAGGTGAGTCTCCGTCCACGCAAACTTAACACGAAGAGTAAGGACATGTGAGTTTGGTAGATTAAGATAAGACTTTATTTATCACGAAGGAAATAGTTGAGCCAGAGTTACAACAATACAATAAACACAGCAGCACAATAATACACTAACAGTGCAGTTAACAGAGCAATTAAATATCTACAGGAAACAAAGACGGTCACGTAATTAATGTAAAATACTTTACAGTGACGAGCAGTATTTAGTAGTGCAAAAGAACGTAGTGGTAGATATACGTAATTTCCCATTCTTATAGAACATTATTCATATTAATAATAATATTGCACATGTTGTATAGCAGAGAGTTTGTTATGATATTTATTTCGCACATAGTGGTGGAAGACCTTACTGAAGGGGGAGGAGTTATAGAGCTTGATGGCCACTGGGAGGAAAGACCTCCTGTGGCGCTCCGTGTTGGTCTTATTTCTTTGTTGTAACAATGCTTCTTGGCATTACATCTTATACCGTTTTCTTACCTTTGAAATGGTGCCACATGTGTGGGATGAGCAGCTGAGCTGAGTATGCAGGTTGAGGTTGCGCCCATGAAAAATGTGACAAATCTCCTCAACAGCTTTTTGTTATGCTGTTGACTCTTGTTCGGTGTTTTCAGGACATATGTTCCATTAAAGCTCACCAGAGTATAAAGGAGGTGAACTGCACTCGTATGATTGTGATTGGATGTTACTGGCTCGCATCAATGAGCCAATGATCAGCTGACTTTAATGCTAATACAATCTAGCTTCCTCTTTGTGGCACCTACAGTGTGATATTAGATTACAATCAGGAGAGACTCATGTTTTGTTTAGAGAGCGCTCATCATGAGCTGTTTCATGTGGAGCAGGGGTGTCAAACTCAATTTAATCGCGGGCCACATCAGCATTATGGCTGCACTCAAAGGGCCGGTTGTAACTTCAAGACTATTTAAAAATACATAACCATATAAATATATAAAATAATATAACATCTTCAAAAAATAAATCTGAGAAAAGGCACATTCTAAGAAAAAAGCCATATTTAGAAGAAAACAAGTGAAATTCTGAGAAAAAAGTCTAATTTGAGATGCATTGTGGGACATGCAGTTTATGGGCAACGTGCTTCTGTAAATCATGTAACCGTATAATAAACATATTATATTCTTTGCAAGCTCTTGTGGGGCCACAGAAAATGAAGTCACGGGCCGGATTTGGCCCCCGGGCCTTGAGTTTGACACCCCTGATGTGGAGTGAATGAATTCAGTCTTCCTGATGGAACTCGCGCTGAGCTTCATTCAGATTTACTTTATTGGCCCCAAATTGGGAAATTGTTTTGCAGAGAAGACTTCAATTGGTTCCATGATGTCTGTAGTTCTACACTAAGTGTAATTATTGAGCCAAACGATCAGTGTTTATTGAACGATGCTCTGCCTGTCACTGATGTGTTGAGCTTTTACCTCCTGTAAATGGACGATACGTCCCTTTCTTCTCCCGTCTCCACTAATCCAATCCTGAAAAGATTCCTTCAGATACAAAGTGAACGGTGCGTCCTCTCACTGCCTTTTTTTCATCCTGCGTTGTTCAAACATCTAATCATGGGCTTATTAGGCATCGTTAAAATGCAGTTTGAGGCTGCAGGAGTGAGCTCAGCGTGGATGTCATATAATGACAGAGAAAGCAAACCTGCAGAGCGACAGAGTGAGAACACAGCGGGGGGTGAGAGTGTAGCAGAGTCTAATCAACACTTCCTTTGAAACACCTGCACACAATCACAGCTGTAACGCTCATCCAGGACGCATGCATGAAGGGTTCAGTCTACTTCTGAAATCATTTAAAAAGCACTTCCTTTAATAACATCCATGTTATACTTCCCAGCTTGGCAAACCAGAAGCTGATGTTTTATCTTCCTCTGTGTATTCACCCTATGCTAATTGCTGCTACTCTGCAGAGCGTCACCGGCTTTTCCTGCCGAGACACAGATTGTACGCTTTTTATTTAATGTTCCTCTGTCAGACGTTCAGTGGGACATTATCGGACGTTCAGGGGGACATTATCGGACGTTCAGGGGGACATTATCGGACGTTCAGAGGGACATTATCGGACGTTCAGGGGGACATTATCGGACGTTCAGAGGGACATTATCGGACGTTCAGGGGGACATTATCGGACGTTCAGAGGGACATTATCGGATGGTCAGAGGGACATTATCGGACGTTCAGAGGGACATTATCGGATGGTCAGAGGGACATTATCGGACGTTCAGGGGGACATTATCGGACGTTCAGGGGGACATTATCGGACGTTCAGAGGGACATTATCGGACGTTCAGAGGGACATTATCGGACGTTCAGGGGGACATTATCGGACGTTCAGGGGGACATTATCGGACGTTCAGAGGGACATTATCGGACGTTCAGAGGGACATTATCGGACGGTCAGAGGGACATTATCGGACGGTCAGAGGGACATTATCGGACGTTCAGGGGGACATTATCGGACGGTCAGAGGGACATTATCGGACGGTCAGAGGGACATTATCGGACGGTCAGAGGGACATTATCGGACGGTCAGAGAGACGTCATCAGACGGTTAGAGAGACGTTATCAGACGGTCAGAGGGACATTATCTGCCTGAGGCTCCATCACTGCAGCACAGACTGAAATGTGATCCGATCGATGCCTCGGGGCCACAGTGGAAAGGCTGCAGCACTAAATGACGCTGCACATTTCCAGAATGGAGGAAGGTGCTTAGCAGCAGCTGCTGTAGTCTTCAAAGGTCTCCTCTCATGCAAAATGCACTTTTAATGCCTGTTACGCCCCGGTGTGTCCCCGGTGTGTGTCCCCGGTGTGTGTCCCCGGTGTGTATCCCCGGTGTGTGTCCCGGTGTGTGTCCCCGGTGTGTGTCCCCCCAGTGTGTCCCCGGTGTGTGTGTCCGGTGTGTGTGTCCGGTGTGTGTGTCCGGTGTGTGTGTCCGGTGTGTGTGTCCGGTGTGTCCCCCCAGTGTGTCCCCGGTGTGTCCCCGGTGTGTCCCCGGTGTGTCCCCGGTGTGTCGGGACACTCACAAAGTGTCAGAAAGCAAAACCCTCCTGATCCTAACACATCTCCTCTGGCTGAGGAGACCTCTCTGCTCCAGCTTTTCTAGGTATTCAATCTAGTATTTAATATTCCATGCCTCACATACTTATGTATATATATGAACTTGCTTTATATTTTGTTACAGTACATTGGTAATTCAACATGTATATTTTCTACTTTCTTGTTTATTTCTAGTCTTTACATTTTTATTGTACGATGCCATGTATTTTTCTGCAACACAAACAGTACTTCTTATCTTACCCAAATCTCTAAAAACAGGGGTACAACGGGTGTTTTTTAATAAACTTGTATAGCTCTGAGACCTATAATATATGCCTACAATTAGTATAATAGGAGACCTTTTAAGGCGAGACGCTGCCGGGAACAACATGTCTTCTTTCACACTATAGTGCAAAGAAAACCTCTAAAATCCACATCCAGGAGTTCATCTCACGAACTGTGTCTGGTTGTCTCTGCAGATTTCTCCTAAATTCACTATAGCATCACATAACGCCTCATTTGCATATTTAATCATAACATGTCCGAAAACTTGTAACTGTGTTAATGTCAGTGATGAAGTGGGGGGGGGGTTCATGGTGATATCTGTTAGTTAAATATTTGACTCTGTTCCCCTGCAGTGTTACAACAGGTATGAGTTTTACAGTCCAGATCTTTAAAGGCCGGTCCCTCACACACATCAAACTGAACACACTCATTCCTCTCTATATTCTGAAGCTTTTCACATTCACACACTCATTCACACACTCATTCACACACACACGATGACTGAACACATGCAGCACGTGTGTTTTTATGTCAGTGTTTTCTGGTTTATGCAAAGATGCAAAGAGATTCCCCTCTAACCCGTATCTGTAAAGAATCTAACATGAAACAACATGAACCCGTCTTTATCACATGGTCATGTTGCTGTGATGGAAATGAATGCATATATCAAATAAGAGAATGTCTCATTTGCATATTTAAACACAACATGTCAGAAAACTGTGATATAAAAAAGATTGGCTGTTTTACATAAAAGTAATTATTATGTGCAGCTCCTCGTGTCTAAACTACGTCTAAATGAATATGAAACAAATACATTTTAAATAAGATGGAAACATATTCGATTAATTCAGATTTATTTAGATTTATTCAACGCAGGATTTTTGTTAGACATGCTGAAGGCAAGCTGTAGCAAGATAAAACACACCTGTGAAGAAAATATTACAATCTGATCCACAAACAAGACCTTGCTTTGTAGAGCAGATTTTTAACCAGGAACAAATATGAATTTGACTTTGAGAGAAAACGCCTCTTGGGTAATACAGTGCTGTCACTGAGCGGAGGTTTAGTAAGGGAGTCATAAATCCACCTCACTGCTTCTTCCTCTATCTGGAGGTATAAATCTGTGAGCGGCACAAACACACAGCGGTTCCCACACTGCCTCTTGACAGGACATTTATTAACAGAGGTCAGCGCCTGCTGCCTTATATGGAAACTACAGTCCTCCTATCAGATCTGTAGGTATTTCCTGAAAAACACACTCGGGCTAATTTTACCTCTGCCTTCCGTCCCCTCAATCAAACATGCAGCGACTAAGAGCTGCTCCGAAGGACTCTGGAAACCACCGCAAACCAATCGCAGTGACGTCTCCTGTCTCGTGCTCTGTGTCATTAAAGCTCACCTTTTATACTTTATTTGAACAACATATTATAGGGAGCAGAAAGTCAGCTAAATGCTGTCGTGATTAAACTCCATGTTCCAAACCACATCAAGGATTCTCTCTGAAACAGCATGGAGCTCAAACTCTTTCTCTCTCAGGTGACTTCCTTTTATTTCCTGCTTCTTCACACACACTCTCTCCAGTACAGGTTAGCTCTGAGTGTTAGCATGCTAATGTAAACACAGACCATATTACTTC